TGCGAAGTTTTACGACCACTGGCTTTAAGAATGACGAGAAATAATAAGAAATCTAGCGTGAGACCGTTTTTGTTACGCAATTGTACACCAACATCGTGCATGAGGCCTAATGTATGAGCTTAACAATTTTTGTTACCATAGCAACATACTGGGTTCCAGACCTCCACGATATTAAAGGATTTTCTGACCACTTTTAGCATTCTATATTGATATTTGCCAATGGTGCCTCATCTACATGATCCAGGAAGCATATAAATACGTTAGGTTGACTTCATGGCCTTGTTTAATGTTTTCCAAGCGTAAAATCACTAAAGTATTAAAATCAGGCTAGAGGGGACTGGAAAAGAGTGGGTTGCCATGGAAACAGAAATTGTTACATTTGTAGGTGTGTTGCATATAGAACTATTAGCCCACCAAGTTTCAATGGTTTTGGCTGCAAATTGACCAAGATAGTGCTCTTTATATACTTGATGTAATATTTGGTTGAGTATATGATGTCATCAGTCATCTCATTTGCATATTTTACTCATTTTTCAAGCTTAAATGTCTCTGGAACCAATGCAGATATTTGTAAACGGTAAACAGCATCTTTACACTTTCATAGAATTCTATGTGATTAGCCTAAAAAAATCAAGGGGTAAAAATTTGATCATAGTAGCACTTTTTAAGTAACCTTGAATTATTACAATACTTTCCTTTTGCACCTATCTACAACTATTAGAACTCCTGCCTTGAAGTAATAACAGCTAAAGCTGCCTACACCCTACACCACTACATACATGTATAGATGGAAATAGCTGGACAGTGATTCAGAAGAAGCCATGCAATTTGTTGTCATATACACACATGAAGTAATAATACAGAGATTGTATTCACTATGTAATACTCGATTTCAAATAATACATGTATCATTCAATTCTGGCCTAGATGCAAACATCTATTATTTCCTTTCACATGAAAAAGGGGAACATTAGCAGTTAGATGTCTGCATGCAGGCNTTCAAATAATACATGTATCATTCAATTCTGGCCTAGATGCAAACATCTATTATTTCCTTTCACATGAAAAAGGGGAACATTAGCAGTTAGATGTCTGCATGCAGGCTATACAATTCAGTTTGGAAGTTCTTTCTATTCAAGGCACTTTTTATATACATATACATACAAATAGCTATATATACAAATATACATACATATACATACAAATAGCTATAAATTTTCCACCGTTCGCCTCTTATGCTTAGGGAAAATAGTGGATCAATGCAATTTGTTGAGACGAAGGAAAGGAGTTCACGATCGCCGCAGGAACTGAAGTTTGTTTGCTGTATTTCACATTAGAAGATTTCAGAAAAATCGTTTAAATGACGAGTTTGTGTGGTGTCTGGTGGTGTACCAACACAATTTACATGGCCAGTACCTTCCCTAAAGTAAAGAAAAGCTCCTCTTGAAAAACATCCTCTGTCTCAAAGGAAAAAGTTGACTTCACGTCCACTCACACGGAATCGCACGAAACAAATTTTACAGTGTAATAACCAAGCAAATCAACTTCAACTGTACCCATCATTCCATCCAGTGAATACTTTGAGCCAAACAAAAATGACTTGGAGCTAAATGCGGTCGCTTACACATTTTCTAAGATCTTCCAGCCTGATCAAACAAACTTTAACAGTTCCTTCAGCGATCATGACCTACTTTCCTTCATCTGTTTTCCCTTAGAGGTGACTGCAGAAACGAAAAAAAAAAACATTTTCTCTGCTGTGGAAGATTTCTATTCCTTCAGGTGGCATTCAGGAACACAACAACTTATAGGGAAGGCGAAACAAAAACAGACCAGATCGACGACAAAGCAAGACTTTTCTGGGGAAGCATTGTCAAAACAAAACATCAAAGCCTGACTAGCCTCACGTTCATGCGACTCGTCCTGGGCGCCAACCAAGTGGTCTGCCATATTTGCATTCGGTGTATTGCTTGTTAGGGAAAATTAAACAAACCATATCTCAATGTATTAAAAGCTGTACCTTCATGGAGAACTTTTAGATGAGTGGGTTTTTCAAAACTTCGAGAAGGTACATGGGAAAGTACTGGATTACATTCCACTGTCAATGGATGCCCAGTAACTACAGATTGACCTTCAAGCAGAAACATATGTAAACGATATTGTCTTCCTCACAATTATTTCTCTTGCAGTTGACTGTGCACTGTGGATGTGTATCTTTATAACTAGATACAAGTATAAGATTTCATTAACAGGTAAAATACCATTTTGGGGGGATGAGGAAGGGGCTGGGTTTTTTTTTTCACAAAGCCTTGCATAAAGTCTACCAGTTACTAATTGAAAGTATTTCATTTCCTTCGTAAAAATATTTTTACTCCCTACCCCTTTTCCGCCATTTCTAAATTTACATAGTTATGTTTGACAGAGATTGATCTTTGTGCCAAAAGACTGTTATATTCAAGATATACTGCAGATTAAACCTTTAATATCAATTTTGGTGTATAAATCTCTTTCAGACGGAAAATATTATTTTGCTTTTCGGGGTGCACATAGATGGAAGTTTAATTCTGCAAAGTTTTACGACCACTGGCTTTAAGAATGACGAGAAATAATAAATCTAGCGTGAGACCGTTTTTGTTATGCAATTGTACACCAACATCGTGCGCGAGGCCTGTTCTTGCATCTAACTGTACTGATTGGGGAAGTATCTAGGTTAAAAACTTTGCATTTTTTATGTGCGTATTTGTAATATTTTATCCTTAATTTTGTGCTGTGACTCTTTTTTTTTACTGTACCTAGGTGGGTCAGCAAGCATATCAAGAAGCCAATTCGTTCAACTGTGCTGTGGTGAGCTTTATTTCCTTACTTGTGTTCCCTATTGAGAAGGCCATTATTTTTCTGTATTCTGTACAAACAAAGAGGTTTTTCTGCAAGCCTCTTCTCCTCAGAAAACCAACTTTGTCTGCCAAGGCTGCAGCAGAGAATGCCACTCCTGCATATAGCTGATCAGTCAAAATACAGTGCAGCACAAGGCACTGACATTTCTGCAGGGTGCATCTACATTGTCATCAGGGACAGAGCTCTGCCAGCCAGATTATATGAAGAGCTGATAGTAGTCTTGGATGTATGCAGCATGTTGTATATGCTAGAAATCACTATCATGACACAAAAAAGTGAAATAAGTTTCATGTTATTGATTTGTGTAATTATCACTCTTTTCGTAGCCTTGATTGGCATCCCAACAACTTGTTGCTGGCTGCTGGGTCTTCTGACTTCAAGACCAGGTAGGTTTACAAACTGATGTAGCTTGTTAGAATTTCTGTCAAACAGATAGAGAATTGTGTTGATAACTGAACTACAAGAGCTTGCGTCAATGTCTCATTTCTTTCTCAAATGATCACAGGGTTTTCTCAGCCTTCATCAAAGAAGTGGATGGAAAAGCAAACACTGACACTATCTGGGGAAAGAAGTCCAGCTTTGGAAGTTGTTTGAAAGAGTTCTCTAATGGCCGAGGTATAGAGATCACTAGTATAGAGATAACTAGCCCACAAAATAATGATTGCCCTTGCAAATGTTTTTTGAACTTTCCCATTGTTTTTATTACTACATTATGCTACTATGGGAATTCATCAATCTGTGAGAAAAGAGTGTCTTTACACCTGTCAATTATATGGCTCTAAATTCTCAACCCCTGATTACCTCAAGCTGACGCAAAACAGTGAAAAGAACCTGGCATTAATGTTATTTGACCAAAGTGAATGCCACAGGCCAAATGTGAATGTGATTCGACTCACAGGGGGAAAAAATTGTTAAGGCCGCTTGGCCTAGTGTTAGCCCAGGCCAAGCCCTTTTATTGTGCGCTGACAACTTGGTGTGTTTTTGCAGGTGGATGGGTGCACGGTGTTAGTTTCTCTGCCTCAGGGAACAAACTGGCCTGGGTTGGTCATGACTCCAGCATCAGTGTTGTGAATGCTGCCAATGAGTGCAAGGTGGCTACCATCCAAGGAGACTTCTTGCCTTTTGCAGCATGTGTGTGGGTCACAGAAAACAGCATCATCACTGCCGGTAATGATTGCCCTTTTGCTATCGGGGTTATAAAGCAACTTTTAATATCTAGCCACCAACTGGGCTTTCAGATGTTGTTTTAGTCGATTTTGGAGCACTTAGAACTTTTGTTCGGGTCCCAAATTGAAACAGCAATTATATAGTAATGTAGTGAAGCCTTGGAGCCAATGCCTCATAACTCCTGGAGCTTATCCCGGTTTCTGTAGCATGAAGTGGCTTGAACCCAGACTGCTCGCTCCAGGGACAAGCGCACTAACCATGAGGCCACTGCGCCTCCCACTAGTAATACAGTGCTCGTCTGAAATCTGTAATGTAGATGTTACTTATTAAAGCTGATGCATGGTCGTCCATCATCCGGTTTAGTCCTACAGTGGCTGTGTACCTATATGTAAGCTAAAAGCAATTTAACTTATAACTTAAAATCCAACTTTTGCATTGTCTGTGGCATGTTAAGTTCACTTGGATAGATTTCCCAAATTTATGACAATATATTTTCAATGACAGTAACTTTGAAGTTTGGAATCGTGGCCTTTAACAGGTAAGTGCTCATGGTAAATCTCACTGTAGATCTCTACAGCTGTTTGTGCCGATTCTTTCCACAGCCAAGTTATTGTTGACATAAATTTTTGTTATGGCAGGGTATGACTATGTCCCAATACTGTTCAGCCACGATGACAAGGATAGTTTGAGTCTGGGCCAGAAGCTAGATGTTCCTAAGAAGAAGGAAGACTCTGGAGCAGTCAGTGCCATGGCCAAGTTCCGTACTATGGACAAAAGAGCTCAAAGTGCAGATGAAAGTGGTTCTGGCTCTGGGGTGAATACCACTCACCAAAATGCAATCAAGTGAGAAATTCTCCTTCATGTTCCTCTGTTTTCTTTATTCACTCTGGAAGGATTAGGGAAGGGTTGTAACCAGACATCCTCATTCTTATTTAAATAGATTGTAACCATCTGGTACATATTAAGGCAGGTGAGAATTTTGTCACTAGTGGTGAAGAGTCAGTATTTGTATAAGAAACGACTAGTGGTAATGATTATGTGGAAGAGAAGGTAACATGATTCTTTTGGACTCTCTTTTCTTGCATGATCTTTTGATAAGAACAGTTAATTTAAATGATATTGTTCTGTTCTTTTTCCAGTCAAGTGCAGATCTACAGTGGAACTAAAGCGGGTGCCACTAAGTTTGTGACCTCTGGTGTTGATGGGCGTATTGTCATTTGGGATGTCAAGGTAAATTAAGCTGAAAATTTTGGAAGGCTCTCCTGCGACTCCTACTTCAGGCATGGTAGTTTTGATGTTAAGATTCTTGAAGAAATACACGAGGAGCGTTCACCATAGTGACAATCGAGCTACTTTTGAGTAGTCTAAGGTGGAATGAGCACTCCGATCAGGGATATGTCAAGATACTTTGCAATATCTTTGACGGAACCCTGGGCTTAGTCAGTGCAGTCAAGGGATATTTCAGTCCAATATTCAAGCAAGTAACAATATTGTACTGTGACCCTCGGAAACATTTCTGAGATTAACTACAGTTGGACCCTGTTGATTTGAACTCGGTTATTTTGAATTCCCCATTATTTCTAACCCAAAACCATTTCCCTTGGATTTGTCCTTCAGTTATTTGCTATCGGCTATATCGAACTCCCACTAATTTGAAGTATTTTTTGTTTTCCCTGAGAGTTCGAAGTAGCGGGTTCAACCGTATTGTATGGTATCCTTGTTTTTGTTTAATACACTTGTCTGAATGGCCATGTACAGCCCTGTTTATATTTTGTTTGTTCGTTTGTTTGTTGCAGACCTTGGAGTCTTCCATTGCTGGTTTGAGGATCTCTTAAGTAAACAGTTGAAAATTTGTTTCAACTACTCCTGGCGAAAAATGTGCCCTTGTTTTCAGAAGTTCTGTCAGTTTTATTAATAAGTTGCAAAGCGATACTTTACTACATTTAAAATGCAACTGTCATTGATTCAATAAAAGTTTCTTAAATTTTCTAATTCGTTGGCAGCTGTTTGCATGCGCGAAATCCTAGAAAGCATTTTGGGGGAAGTACATCCTCGACCCTGACATTCTCTCCTTTGCCTGGAGAGAGAGTCTGGGATCGAGGTTGGGGGAAGTATTTCTTACGTCAAGTTCAAAGTCAAGGCATCGTAAGTCAACACACGGATCCCACTGACATCCGTTTTCAAAGTTCCCTGATTTTTCCTTATAAAGAAAGATATCAATGTAACTACAAAATGTCAGATATAGTAGCGGCCTCCAGTCTCTTGTTATAGCCGTCCTTTCCGCCCACTTATTCGGGACTGATAAAAAGTTGCCCTCTGCGTCAAAGAAAAACATTGAGATCATGGGGGAGGGGGAAGGGGTTTCGCTCCAATTTGCGCGCGGCCAGAATGCGGAAAAAGCTCCTCGTACGGGAACGCTTGCTATGCAGGCTACACTAGAATGACGAAGCAGAATCGTATTGGTTCAACCTACACCTACGTTAATTCATTTGTTTTGGTGAATGTGATTATACTGCATGTGTACTGCATAAGAAAACCAGTGCCACACACCTTTGAACGTGACAAATACCGTTTAATATTTACAAATTTTATTTGTACAAACATCTGTGTAGTACGTTACTCAGACGGTTCGAGGTCACTGGCTCGCTCTTGCTCTCTACCATTTCACTCACTACCTATCCCAGGGGGGGTTTCATCGATGAACTCGGACCGTCTGGAAAACAAGCTAAAATTTGGCGATCAAGCTGTCATTTAACTTGCTATGTTGCCCCGCAGACCTGGACTGGGTTGTTTAATTAGTTATCGTTACGGGAAAGGGTTCCAACCAAAATGGAACTTAACAGAGAAGTTCTCTTATCTGCGACTACGACTCTGCAACAGGTCTCTGAGCGTTAAAGACAAACGCCATTTGGAAAAGAAAAACACGCGCGTGTAAAATGCAATGCAAGGATATGCTTCAAATGTACATAGGTCAGTTTTGAAGGGATCATGAAAC